AGGAAGGAAGGAAGGAAAGAAGGAAGGAAAAGAGGGAGGGTAAAAGGAAGAAAAACAGAAATTAAGATAGAAATTTATCCTTCTTTGTTTACTAAATATTTTAGCATTCATTCTTTATTTTACATGTTTTCCCCAACAACTCATGGGGAAGGTAAAACCAGGTGTCCTTAAATAACAATCAGGTAGCTGAAACCTACAGGGACCACCTGCCTTGCCCCAGGTTAGACGGTACATAGCAGATACAGCCAAGAGTTCTGAATCCAATTCCATATTATCTTCCTGACACCTTGGCCCAAACCCTAAGATGTGCATTTTCTGCTCTGGGAATGACAGGCTTGTTGGTCTGTCCATCGGGGATGAATAAGCACCTGGGACCCACATGCAGTCTGGAGGGACAGCTCATGTCTTGGGTGCTAAATCCACAGTCTGGTGACACTAGCTTTCTCTTGCATGATGAGCTGGGGTTCAAAAGGCAGAAAACATTACAAAGATTTTGAGATCCTTTTCCCTTCACTATAAGAAAAGCACCCACCCAGGTCTCCACCTGTGTGTGGGGATGGGGGTAGGACTGTCAGTTTTGGGGCAATCACACTTTGTTGCTCTGGGGAGGAGTCCTCTGCCAGGTGTGTGAACCCAGGCTACAAGGAGTCCTGGAGAGCTTGCCATGCTGTCCCTTGGGCACTCTTGTGTCCCCAGGGACCAGGAGGTGGAGAACATTGGGCTGAATCTCCATGCAGTGATAGCGTGATATGTTGATAGAATATATCTCCTTATACATCCTTTATCACTAGCTATCTAAAGCTTAGAAATACAGAACAGCCCGTTGCATACAAAATACTTCACTGTCAGTCGAGTGTTTTGGAATGAATTGTGTGACCTCATCCTCATTTTTTTTTTTTTAACATAGACTAAAACTGTAATCTATATTCAAGAGAGGGGGAAATAGAATTTGTTTTTCTGTTACCCTAAGATTAAGTTTTTAAGAGTGTTCCTTTCACAGACCTGGGGCATTTTTCATGGAGCCTACTTTTTCTCCGCTTTAGGGAAGGATGTGCCTCTGGCCACGTGGTTACCTTGCAGTGCACAGGTAAGAGTTCTAGAAAGGCAGGGGTCCAGGGGAAGCAAGCACACGCTGAGTCCTATCTCCTTGCCCGCTGAGTCCTCTCTCCCATGGAGCTCTGTGTCCCTTCCTCCTGGGTGCCAGGTGGGAACTCTGTGTACCTCTACCTGCCGGACGAGGGGAGCAGTGTCATCTTCACCTGTTGGTCTCACCTGTCAGGTGGGGGAGACAGCCAGAGCAACTCATTAGCAGCAGACAGGACCAAGGCCCATGATGTCCCATCGCTCTGTAGAGCCTTGAGTCCCTGACTTAGTACCCACTTCCTCCTTACACGTGCACAGTGCTCACTCCAGGCCTCGGGCAGTACCCCTCATTCCTGGCAGAGGGGAGTGTTCACACTGCAAGGGTGGGGTCTGGAGCAGTCAGGGAGGTGCGTGCACCTGTGGCAGTGAGGAGGGGGCTGCAGAAGGTTCCTGCCTGCTCCTGACATCCCAGGGTGTTGTCATCACTGGGGCAACAGGATGGGGTGTGGCACTGCCAACGCTGGGCACTGACCAAGTAGGGCAGGTGCTTTTCCCACCACATCCCCCACAGCACCCACCATCCTCAGGTCTCCCCAAGAGCCTGACCACCTCCCCTGCTGAGCTCCCCCTTGCAGCACTTGTCTTACAGCTGCTGTGAGCTCTGGGAGGGTGGGGGGCAGTGAGGATGGGGAGAGAGGAGCAGGTGCATGGTGGTGACACCATGTCCCCCAAAGAAGTCTGCAGGATGGAGCCACAAGCCCTTGTTCCCTTCCGTAGCCTGTGGTCATAGAAGGGGCTACAGCTCACGCATCGTGGGTGGAAACATGTCCTCGCTCTCGCAGTGGCCCTGGCAGGCCAGCCTTCAGTTCCAGGGCTACCACCTGTGCGGGGGCTCTGTCATCACGCCCCTGTGGATCGTCACCGCTGCACACTGTGTTTACGAGTGAGTGCTGCTGACCTTCTTCCCAGACCCCTGTTCACTTCTGGGTCATGTCAGGGCGGGGCTGCTTTGGGTGGTGAGAAGCAGGTCCAGAGGGAAGACAGAGAGACCAATTCCCAAGTAATGTCCAGTTGGAGAGGTGAGAGGTGCCTCCAGCCTCACTGTGGACCATCATCATCGGCTGGTGGTGACTGGTGACCTTGAGCTTGTTTTCAGGATTGTAGCTCCTACAGAAAGGACAGACAGAGGAGGAAGGAAGCTCTTGTGCTGGAGGAAACCCACAAAAGTGAAAGGACCTAGACCTTCCTGTAGCTAATTCCAGTGGACCATGTTATGGCAGAGACAGGGTGAGATGGTAGTGAGGGAGGCTAGAGGGAATATGTTGGGGGCCAGGTACTGGGTCTCTTCTTAAAATCTCAGGAGCTTAGAGTGCAAGAAAACTGCAGAAAAGACTTCCAAACACAATGATTCTCCCTGATATTTTAACCCCCAATTTTGTTGCTGTTTGATGAAGAATGGGCCCTGATAGACTCCTTGCAGTGAGCAACGTTGAGTTCAACCCTCAAATGCCAAGAAGACCTCAGAGGTGCTGAGAGTGAGGCCTGTCTGGGAAACACATGGGGTGTGGGTCTGTGTTTCTGCAGGGCATGAGAGTGCAGTTACGTATACAGCATAAACAGGCAGGGTGATGGGACCACCTCTTGCCTGATAACCTCTCCCACCATCTTCCTAGGTTTTCAAGACACCTGAGGTCAATGAGTTCAGTGGTCAGACTTTTCCTGTGCTTCACCTCTTGCTCTTCTCATTTCAGCTTGTACCTCCCCAAGTCATGGACCATCCAGGTGGGTCTAGTCTCCCTGCTGGACAATCCAGCCCCATCCCACTTGGTGGAGAAGATTGTCTACCACAGCAAGTACAAGCCAAAGAGGCTGGGGAATGACATCGCCCTCATGAAGCTGACTGGGCCGCTCACGTTCAATGGTACATCTGGGTCTCTGTGTGGTTCTGTGACTCTTCCTTTGTTTCAAGAGGATTTGCAATTGCTCAATGAAGCAGTCTTATGATGGCTGCTTTATAATCCTTGTCAGATATTAATAATTCCAACTCCTGATTCATGTTGGTGTTGGCATCAGTTGATTATCTTTTCTCATTAAAGTTGTGATGTTCCTAGTTCTTGGGATGACATGTGATTTTCAATCGTATCCTGGACAATGGGGCTATCATGTTTGCAGACTTGAGTCCTACGTACCTTTTCAATGTTACCCTGTTTAAATGTAGTTTGTAGATCCTGGCCTACAGAATGAATGCACTGATGACTCTGCCAGGTAGATTGGTGGGCTGTGGTTCCAACCATAACTTAATTTTAGAGCCTTCGTGGGCTGTGTGCTTTGTCTGGTGCCACCTTCTCCCTGTTGGTGCCACCTGGAGGCAGGAAGAGCTTCTTGAGGCCAGACCACCTGGGGCCTCTAGGTGGTGGAAGAGAGTCATCCATCTGTAGGGACAAAGAGCCCTTCCCTGTCCAGATGCCTAGTGGGGATGCGTCGCCTCCGCCAGTGCCACCCACCTGCCTGTTTTCTCCAAGTAGAGGGGCCATCTCGGTTGAGAAACAGAACCTCCCAGGCTGGCCAGGTGGTGTGGTGGCATCCTCTCATCTCTTTACAGGCTGAAAGATGCTGGGCACCCTCAGCCCCCTGGAAGTACAGAAAAGTTCTCTCCCTACCAGCAGCTCCTAAACACCCTGTTTCTTGAAAAAGTCAAGCCCTGCCCTCTGGACATTACGAAAATGCCAGAAGAGACACACCTGATAAAACTTTCAAACATCTCGTAGATGCAAACAAAGTACTAGGAGACCACTCCCAAATAAATTAAAGCCCTTTCTCCTTCTCAAGAAAACAGGGAGAGCATAATAAATAGGTGAATTCCCTCTTATTGGAGCAGAATCCTGGCCTGAGACCAGCTGCAGGCTCTACTTGGCAGAGTCACTACTGCATCCATCTCATGGACACGTAATGCCCGAAAACAAACATTTCCAGAGAGGCAGGAAAATGGTTGTGGTGGTGCCAGTTTGCCAACTATTATTAATGATATTGGTTACAGGAAATGAGGTGCCAGCACTTGTTCTTTGACAAAAATTCAAGTGAGTTCTTTCATTCCTTCTCTACCTCTCCATTACTGTGCTGCACAGAAAAGCTTGGGGGAACCTCAGGGTGTGTTCACATGAAAGCCTGAGGTATGTGCAGAGCACTCTGGCTTTGGGGGAGGCCCACAGGACCCAGCTCTACACACAGGCAAACTTGTCGTCTCCAGATGTCCCAGGAACCGTAGCAATATTCATGGAGCCGTGTTCTATAAGCAACACGTGTACTGTGATCTAGACCAGGAGTGGGCACGTGCTGGCCTGAGGGCCAGGTCTGCCCCATCGCGTTTTGGTAAATAGACATTTTACCGGACACAGTCACACCTATGTGGGTACCTATCACCTGGGGCTGTCTTCATGCTCCAATGGCAGCCATAGAGACCGCACAGCCTACGAAGCCCCAAACATTGACTATTCAGCCCTTTCCACAAGAGGTGCGCTGACCCTGGTCTAGGCTTCCTCACCCTGCCATGGTGGAGGGCTGTTCTACAGTTTTAAGTGCTCTGGGAGTGGTGGATGGGGTAAGGGGCTCCTGCTGTGAGCTGATCATTTTCAAGTAACCAAGGGCTTGACCTTCCCTTGGGAGATGGTTTGTGCTCCTCTGAGGAAGAAGCACAGATGAGATGGTTTTCTTGGACTCCTGCTTCAATTGAGTTGAGAACTACTGTTTCCTTTCAAACAGAGATGATCCAGCCTGTGTGCCTGCCCAACTCTGAAGAGAACTTCCCTGATGGAAAAGTGTGCTGGACGTCAGGATGGGGGGCCACAGAGGATGGAGGTCAGTGGGCTGAAGCCAAGATTCTGAGCCCGGGAACCCAGAACCCAGAGGGCTGCGGAGGGGGCTCCCCCAACATTCCAATGTGATGTTCCCATGGGCTGCCCAGATACGCCGGCCAGGGAGTGTATGTCAACTGCTCAGGACACAGTCAGCCGAGGAGCTGTGGGTCAGGAGTCACGGTTCCATTGTTATGGGGACAACATGACACTGCAGACCTTCTCAGGAGAGAGTTAGACCTTCTTAAACACAGCAGGTGTTTCCCTTCCCCTGCCCAGACCCCCAGCCTCGTTAACTGAGGACATACAGAGCCCACCTAGACAACACTCCCAGGCTTCATTCAGAACTCAAAGATTTGTGTTTGTGAAGACTCTTTGCCTTGTGGGACTTTGGAAGATGTGTTCTTTCATCCTACAAAGAGCAAGTGGAAGCAGCAGCAGATGAGATTGCTGTAATAATAAGGGAAGCAGGAGTGGCAGTAACCATAGTCCATGCAAGTGAAGCCTGGGTGCCTTTCCTTAGTGTGGGCACAGAGCCGGTCACAAGTCTTAGGTTTTTCCATCAATCACTTTCTTTGTTAGTAGGAAGAGGATTCATTTTCTGTGGCTGCTGTAACAAATTCTCACAGTCTGGGTGGCTTAAAATGATGGAAAGTGGCCAGGTGTGTTCGCTCACACCTGTAGTCCCAGCACTTTGGGAGGCCAAGTCTATGGGATCCCTTGAGGCCATTAGTTTGAGACCCTCCTGGGCAACATAGAGAGACATCGTCTCTACAAAAAATACAGAAATTAGCCAGGCATGGTGGCATGTACCTATAATCCCAGGACTTTGGGAGGCCAAGGCAGGAGGATTGCTTGAGCCCAGGAGTTTGAGACCAACGTGGGCAACATGGCAAGACCCTGTCTCTATAAAAAATTAGTCTGGGCCGGGTGCAGTGGCTCATGCCTATAATCCCAGCACTTTGGGAGGCCGAGGCAAGTGGATCACTTGAGGTCAGGAGTTTGAGACCAGCCTGGCCAACATGGTGAAACCCTGTCTCTACTAAAAATATAAAAATTAGCCAGGCATGATGGCAATTCAGGAGACTGAGGCTGTAGAATCACTTGAACCCAGGAGGCAGAGGTTGCAGTGAGCCAAGATCACACCATTCCATTCCAGTCTGGGTGATAGAGCAAGACTCCATCTCAAAACAAACAACAAACAAACAAACAAACAAACAAACAAACATTAGCCTGACACAGTGGTCCCAGCTACTCAGGAGGCTGGGGTGGGATTGCTTGAGTCCAGGAATTCTAAGCTACAGTGAGCTGTGATCATTCCACCATACTCCATCCTGAGTGACAGAGTGAGACTTTGTGTTTAAAAAAACAAAAAACAAAAAAGAACAACAACAACAAAAAAAGAAAATGTGGAGATTTATTTCCACACCCAACTGTGGTGTCTGTAGGGTGGTTTTCCTGGAGGCTCTGACCCATTTCCTTGGGTTCTGGTGGCTGCAGCTGCACCGGCGTTCCTGTGCTTGTAGCTGGATCTCCAGCCTCAGCGTCCGTCCTCCTGTGGCTTTGTCCCCTGTGTCTCTGTATCTCAAACTTCCCTCTCCTGTGTCTTATAAGAACACCAAGTCGTTGGATTTAGGGTCCACCCTAAACGCAGGGAGATCTCATGTTGAGATTCTTACAGTAATTACATCTGCAAAGACCCTATTCCAAATAAGGTTGGGCTCCATAGTGGCAGGTAGGCATATTTTGGAGGGGCCCACAGTTCAGGCCAACACAGGAAGTTCAGTGTTTTCCTCTCAACACCGATCACTTAAGCCCCTCGCCCCGCTGAAGGCACGCCGGGGCTGAGCCGGATGCTTCGAGTCTGTGGGGCCTACTTACCCCCCGCCCACTGGCAGTGCTGCTCAGCTGGCCGAGGGCACTCAGAGCTCTCTGTAGTTTCCAGCCCACCCACGTGGCCCAGGCCCAGCTCTGAGCCAGTGCGGCTGGTCCAGGGCCCTTCCAGCTTCATCAGAACCAGCACCCCTGGTGTGTGGTGGGAGCTGGGAGACCAATCTTTGCTCCCCTTCCTCTCACGGTGGGCTCTCATTCAGGACCACCCAGCCCACCAGAGTCATTCTAATGACACTGGGCTCTGAAGAGGAGGCTGTGCAACAGCTTCATCCTCCCAGGAGATTCTCCATCCTGCTGCAGATTTGCTTCTCGCTGTCAATCTGCTCTGTCCAGCACAAAAGGTCCAGCGAGCCCCTGTCCTGATGCGGCTTCAGCCCCAGCCTGTGCTGGAATCTTCTCCCATAATGCGTTGAGCTGTTTCGCCACGTTCCGGGCAGGAAGCTGAGTGTCTTGTGATATCATGTGCTCCTCAGAGCAGCCCCTCAGGGTCCTGTCATTGTGGGATTTTGTTGTCTCCATGAAATCTATGGAGTCTTTAAAACATCAAGATGCCTGGGTCACATAAACCAGCTAGGCTGGAGGAGTCCATCGCTCCGTGTCGGGGGTGTGCTTGGCCCACTGCAGGTGGATTGAGTCTCCTGTGACTGTTGCAACAAACGACCCCAAATTCGTGGCTTAAAATGACACAAAGGTATCATCTCGTAGTTAGGAAGGTCACAGGTCCAAACTCAGTCTCAGGGTGCTGGTGTCAAGTGTGGGCTGGGCTGGCTTCTCCTGGAGGCCCTCGGGGAACCTGCCTCCTGCCTTTCCCAGTATCTGCGCTCTGCCCGCACTGCTTGGCTCGTGCCCCTCCTTGGTCTTCCAGGTCAGCAGTGCCACATCTTCTAATCTCTCTCTGACTCTCTGACTCTGGTCCCTGCTCTGTCGTCACGGCTTCTCCTCCGGCTCCTCCAAAGACCCCTGTGACTTCGTTGGGTCCACCCTCTTACTCAGGA